GCTCCACTTCCACCCCCGCCTTCATAGCCAGAATCCCCCTCCCGCCTCTCCCTCCTCCGCTCCCTCCCACTCCGCCTCCACCTTGCCATTCCCTGCCCCCTCCTCCCCACCCTCCTCCCCCTCGCCCTCCTCGGCAACAACGGCAACGACGACGGCGGCGGCAACAACAACGGCGGCAGCCGCCATCGTGAAATAGGGGACGGCGGCGGCGAGTGGGGCGGCCACCGGGGGGAGGCGCTATTCGTGCTGGCGCAGGAGGGGAGGAAGCTCTCCAGCCTGCCGGCGGACCTCGCCGCGGCCGTGGAGGATGGCCACGTCACGGGCGACGTCGTGCAGCGCTTCGCGGAGATGGAGCGCTCGCCGCTGCTCCGCTGGCTGCTGGGCTTCAGAGGGTTCAGGGAGTGCCTCCTCGCCGACGACCTCTTCCTTGCCAAGCTCGCCATGGAGATGGGCGTCGGCATGATCGCCAAGGTCCGTGGGACCGACATGGATGAATCATGAATGCTTTCAACTTATTCTTATCTTATTCTCCTTTGATTTTCAAAAGAAAAAAATGAAATCACGTTTTAATTTGTCTGACCCTTTTTTGTTGCTGCTCTTTTTGTTTCAGACCGCTGCCGAGTACGAGAAGAGAGAGAGAGCTTCGTCAAAGAAATTGACATCGTCATTGCTGATGTGGTACGCCTCTTGTCGTCTGCTACTGAAGACGGGCAATCTGTACATATGTTGATACATAACCCTGACATTTTAAATCACATACAGATGGGGATAGTGTAAACCTCCAACATCCCTGCACCGGCGTCGTGTAAACCTCCAACAGAAGATTCCTTCAGCTGGGGATAGTGTTACCCATGATCCGGTGGCACACATACATGCTTCTTCAGTAGGGTCTGTGCAATGTAATGCTTTTAGCAACATAACCAACACACATACAGATGGTATATTCATCCACTTCATATTAGATTGTATTGTTGCACCTATTACTACTTGTTTATAAATTCATCTCCTATTTTATTGTAGGGTGTACATCTATAAGCTCCGCGAGTCATCGTCTTGAAGAAGTAAATGGTGGCTGAAAGTTAAGAAGTGGCACCAGTTGGTATGCCGGCCTATCCAAGGACCAGAGGGCAGAGTGCTTAAATAAGCAACAGATTGCGTGGCTAAAAGGAAAACAGGCCTCAAACAAAGATAATGTCGATGTCACTCATAATTCCTCTTTTCCAATTGGTAATACGAACTCCAAATAGGAGATACAAATGGACCATCTTCATTCTAAAATATGAGTTGGTCTACTATTCTGATGTACAGGTGCAACCTCCATGGCACCACCCTCCATGAGGTCATCTCTTCCGGCCATGCACAGGTCTCGAGCTAGACCCCGCAGAACATTTTAGACCATCTGTATTACTAATACAGGATTGGCCCCAAGGATAATGATTTGGTCCGATATTTAACCTTTACTTTCCATGGTATTTTTTCTCTCAAGGTCTTTAAAGAGGCCTTTTGTTTTCTGCCTTCCAGACTAGCTCCGGTGCATTCTGGATCCATTGTTTAGTAGTATGCTGCATTGATCGCACATAAGGCTCTATTTCTAGCCTTTTTATTCATTTTGTTAATTATGAAAACACTAATGCAAGGAGCTGTATGAGTATATTGTATGTCATCGGACGTGAATGATGAAAGATTCAAGTCTCGATTCTCACATGGCAATGAAAACCAAAGTCATCTTTGTGGCCTTTTCTTTATATTCAGAATTGAATTCTACTCATTATGCTCGTACAAATATCTTTGCCCTTGGTGCTAGGCATGTAGGAATTGTTCCCAAATTATTAGTTTCATATGAGATGACGCAATACTCTGAAATCTTAGACCTTCGTATTTCAAACTTATTTTTTCCAGTGCATAGTATCTAACCATGGGTTTTTCCCCCATGTGCAGAGTGCTACAGTTGGATATTTGTTCAAGACAATTATGTCTGAAGTTCAAACTGCTAAAAGTATTTGCTCCGGTGTTCTAAAGTTTTCCAGTGAAGTGTAATGTATTTGACCATTAGCGACACTACTGACCATAAGCCATAGTACCAATGATGTTATTTCTTGAAGGAAATTTGAAATTTGTGTCTGTTGTGACTAACAAGTAACCTGCTCAGGATGCTCTTATTTGTATATATTTTGAAACTGTTTCCTGATTGATGTATTAGAAGAGTGTGGTTAGTCTAGATTTAATCAGTATACTTCAGTTTGGTTCAGTTCATGGCATATAGAGTAAGTTTGATTTAGAAGAAAATACCAAAATTATCTGCTGCGAAGAACACGTCAGACATGCTTTTTCAATCTCCCTGTACTTCTATGGTTCTGGATTTTCTATTGTAGAACTGTACGGCAAGTTAGTTTGCTATATTCAAGCAAAATCCATTTATTATAAAAAGTGTGTATGGATTGCTCAATTACTAGGATTGTAGCCCACTAGGTAGATTCAAATCCATTTATTTTGTAGAACATTGGCTATTTCATTAATCTAAAAATTAAGGTGCTCACTAGAATTGTATACTAGCATTAGCTTATTCATTGACTTTGTAATTTGCGGCTAATGGTAATTCCATATTAGTTAGGGAGTTGCGAGTTCTATAAAATTTGGGATAGAAAGGTTTATTGAACATAAATTAGCTTATTTAATGACTTTGAAATTTACGCCTAATGGCAGTTCCATGTTAGTTAGGGAGTTGTCCAGTTTCATGTATATTTGTGTGTCAGAGACATGAACATTCATCGTTTCAAGCCATATTAATTTTTCCTATACATCACAATAGGCGCAACCGTTTCCCGAATGAGACCGTAACATTTGTCGTTTCATGCCATGCAAAATATTCTTATATATTTTTTTGAATAATTGCCTCTTAACTAGGATGAATGAGGAAATATATCATCCAGTTTATACGTGAGTTGCACGTGCACGTTTACTAGTATATGCAAGAAGTTGACAACCATCCTCCAAACAAAAACAGATTAAATGGATATGGTCAAAGCAACAAATTTGGTGTGGTATACTTTTGTCAAAATGCAAACATACCCAAAGACTCTTCAAAGCTGTTCATCTTGTCAACAGCAGAAAATGCTCGTCACGCAAAACTGAAGGAGTCCGATCTTAATTGTTTCTAAATCACACAATGTCACAATGGTTGGAGTTTGGGAATAAAATCTAATAGCTAACTCGAACGACATAGATATTGCCTCAAACACGAATACATGCATTTGAAAACAAAATTTGGTGCACAGATGATTCAGATTTTCCCAAAAGAGCATGCAGTTTGCTGAACATCAGATGTTAAATCGCCTAGGAAACCTACATGAGAGTACTAGTTTGGTGAACAGAAAAACAGAGCTACCAATCCAGCAACTGCAACATTCAAGTTTCAAGCTGACATGACCAGAAACTGCTTTGCAATCCCACACCCTGCTATCAGGACAAAATTCCACCTTCTAGCGCCTAGTTAGTCAACTCCATGATGGCGCTGACAATGTCGCCATCCACAGCCTTGAGCACCTTCACAGCCCTGGATCTCGACACCGAGGTCTGCGTCATCACGAGCTCGACGTCCTTCTGGTCAACGTCAGTGTCATCGACCTCCTCATCGTCCTGGGCTGTTGCCACGGATGGCTCGTCCTTCGAGATCACACTGCTCAGGCCTGGCGCCTTGAACTGTTCCGCCGCTTGTGTCGGCAGCTGAGTGCTCGGGTCCTCGACCTTGAGCTCCCCGAACATGACATAGGTGTCTGACTGCGAGCTCTTGAACACATCTGGCTTCGAGAGGACATACATAACCTGCAATTATGTGGAAAAGTTAAGACAGTGCAACAACCACCAGCATATAGGGAACAATGGCCTGAAGTGGTCAAGATGCTCATGGTCTTGCTCTTCTTGATAGTTACACGGCTCACACCAGTAATGGCCTTCATGCCAAGCTTCTCCATGGCTTTCCTGCTCTTCTTCTCACTCCTACTCTGCCTAGATCTTCCACCAGCATCACCTCCTAGTCCCAGAAAGCACAGATATATTGTCAAGACTTTCTAAATTTTGCATAAGACCAGAATTCTACAACTAGACATAGTTCACTCCATGAATTTTTATTTTTAACCACTGGAAATGGCAAGTGTAACATTCAAACAACACATCCCTTTTCTCAAGCAAGACCGAACAGAAACTGTGACTGCAGTCAAGTCTTGTTGGTATCAATTATCATATTTTCTAAAAATGAACAAGATATCCCTTTTGTTTTGCCTCTTAGGTAAGGTACAAAGGATTAGCTACTCGTATAATGTTAGTTCCAGCATCACGTCATACTAAATGCATTGAAATGGTTCACATAGCAGGACTATAATAGCAAAAGCAAGAGTTTGCATTAGAGGATTTGCTCCTATCAAACTAAATGCTACATACGAAGATTCATGCATATGTTAATGCAGATTAATATTGATACAACGTGCCACCACAGTACATAGGTGAATATTATATACAAATGGCAGGCAGTACTCAAGGAAACTATAAACTGTGTAGAGACAGTTCTGAATAATACAGGAATAAGTAAATATGATAGAGTTCAAAAAAATAAGAATAAAAACCACAAAGGCATAGCAATGGTATGGAAAGAACAGAATATTAGAGGGTACAAACTGGCTATTGTCTAATCGGCAAATAGAAAACAGGTCAAAATGAACCAAAAGAGGTCAATACAGATAAGTAAAGTTTGATTTGAAATTTTGGTATGGTCAATAACTTCCGAAGTTTAAATTTATGTTAGAACAAGGCAGCATTACAATAAGAAATAGGCTTATCTGTAGCTAAGTGGCTACTTGAAGTCTTGAACTGAACAAAAGTAACCACAGAATTACAACATACCCTCAACATCATCGTCATCTTTTTCATCCTCATCCTCGGTATCATCTTCGTCGTCATCATCATCCTCAAGGATAGGCTCATCTTCCTTAAGAGTATGCATTAAAAGATCATATTACTTGACTGTTGTAAGCAGTAAACACTAAACAGGGGACATGCAGAGTAATAAAAACAGAGTTATCCATAAGCAGAAATGAAAAACAGGTAAACAGTCTACGAACAATTTTATCATCCCAGCAAGAAGATGTTAGTACATACTAAGTAGCATCAGCAGAAGATCAAAGGAAATGACAGTCCAAAAGCAGAAAGAAGAAGAGTATGTAAATAACAAGGAACTGTCGTCTGTGTTGACAACAGAAAGTTATGCTCACACATCTGCATTGTTGCTACAGAAAATATGCCGTACAGCATATAAGCATAAGCACAAGGTAGTTAGGTTTCTAACAGACTTCCAAAGCTAATTTCAAACAAACAAGGCCACATTTTTACTATAGAAATCACCAAAGTTGAATGATTTCTCTATGCTCCCTTAAAACTCCCTTCAGATTTTGTATCCATAATAAACGACAGTAGCATTTCAATACGCAACAAAAGGGAACCACAATCAGTATATAATAAGGAACAGCTGACAAACAAGTCACCAATCACAGGGCCTATCACAACAAAGTTGGCTCCAGAAATACCAAAGGATAGTAGTATTAGCAAACTCTGAAACTGAACTCCTAGATGGACAGCAGGCATCACAAGGCCTGGGCTGGGCCGCTGCCCTCCCCCATGGAAAATTGCAGGATAAGCGCAGAAACAAGGACAAAGCTCTGCAACCTAGGCGACATAAACAGACGAGATCTACCGTCCTGACACCGCTGCCGCAACAAAATAAGCCGACGTAGGACCCGAACAAGCAGGGAGAGGCGAAATAATCATTTTTCTGTCTGACACGGCACCAAATCGGAGAGGGGGGAGGGGTCGGAATGGAGGATCACCTCGATCTCGTGCTCCTCGAGATCGGCGCGGAGCAGCTCGGCGACCGTCATGGTGATGGGGCGAGGCCGGGTGCGCCGGTAAGAACTTGCCGGAGGACGGAGGGGAAAGTAAAACCCTAGCTAGTCAAGCTAGGAGGGACGAGGGGAAGTGGGGAAGAGACGCGCTTGACTCGTGTCGTCGTGTTGGGTTTTTGTGGACTTGGGTCGGTGGGATGTGCCATTTGGGCCGGGGCATCCACGGTTCAGTTTATCTTGGATGGGCTCATACAGAGCTTATTTTCACTATTTTGTTTGTAACTTCAGACTCGGACTTGAAATGGAATTATGGAATGTAGTCCAATTAGCAATTACGCACGACAAGAACTACCTTATATTGGGAAAAAATGCTAATTCCTCCGTGACTCTCTCTCATTTGATTGCAAAATATTGTGCTCACACCTATCTCTTGCTTGCTTGCAGGCTTTCAAAAGTGAGGCTGAGGCGCAGAGGTGAGGCCAAATTGGCGTGTGAATGTAAGGACCGAAAGTAGGATCAATCAAGTTGTTTTTTCTGTGCAATCAAGTTGTTTTTTCCTCTGAAAAGGAGGCAAGCTGGCCTCTACATCTTTGTTGTGCTATGCCCATCTCAAATTTTATGCTACGCTTTACTTATTGTAGCTTAACGTAGGTTTTGCCAGCAAGAAACACTTGCAAATGTATGTCTCTTCCGCATATAAGTATCTGCTCTAGAAGATAAATATTGATAGCCGTCACAATAACTGGGCATATAAATATTTGCACTAGAAGATAAATATTAATAGCGGTCACAATAACTTAATCTGTTCTGTACTACAATATTTTTATTCAGAAGAAGACATGATTATATGTTTTTTATATAGTTTTAGTATCTGAGTCGAACTTTCTTAATTTATAATAAGATAGTTGTAATTGATTTAAGAAGCGCGTTAGCTGAGAAACGAGGATCTAAGATGTTTGGTAGTTGAGACATGCATTGTTCTCGCTTATTTTAGCACCGTGAGTAGCATCATTTTTTTCTTCCAAAAAGCCTTTGGCAACGCACATGCGTTCTACTAGTGTTTGTAATTTCAGACTCGGACTTGAAATGGAATTATGGAATGTATTCCAATTAGCAATTACATACGACAAGAACTATGGAATGGAGGGAGTACCTTATACTGGGGAAACCCTATTTGCCGCTCTCTGCGGCAAACAGTCGCGGTTACACACTCGCCATCGGACTCAGCGCTCGGGATAGGCCGGCAAGTTTAGCATTCAGCCATACCTGGTTTTAGGAACCTTCTATGATCTTCCAAGCCGTTTTTTCTGTTTTTGGGTACCTTCTAGAAGTTCTCGAACCAGTTTCTCTATTTATATTACTTTTGTTGTATTTATTTTTTATTTTCTTTCCTTTTTCTTTTTTTCTTTTTATTTTCAGTCTTTTTTCATTTCTTTCTTCTTGCTTTATTTTTTATTTCAACTAACATTATCAGAAATTTGAAAAAACGAAATTTTCGAATTTTGTTCAAATTTTCATAAAATGTTCCTATTTTTAGTTTTTTGTTTAGAAATTTCATAAAATTTTACAGTTTAAAAAATTGTTCTCTTATTTTCAAAAAATGTTCCAAATTTGAAAAAGAGTTTTCCCTTTAAATTTTGTTCAGAAACTCAGAAATGTTTCTTTTCACAAATATATCCCAATTTTCGATATTTGTTCAAAATTTTTAAAAAAAATTCAAGTTTGAAAATTTGTTCATAAATTCGAAAAATACTCACGTTATAAAATTTTGTTCACAAATTACAAATTGTTCCGGATTTAAAAAAAACATTTTTGAAAGTTGTTCTCAAAATTTGGAAAATGTTCACATTTTCAAAATTTCTTCACAAATTCAGAAAACTGTCATGTTTTAAAATTTTGTTCACAAATTCAAAAAAATTGGCAATTTTGAAATTTTGCCTCTGCTTTCCAAATTTGTTCACATGAAAAAAATTATGTTTCCAATTTTTTCACAAATTAAAATATTTTTTAGAATTTCATAAAATATTCCTGTTTTCCAAGTATGTTAGGAAATTAAGGTAATGTTCCTCTTTTTTAAATGTTTCCGTTTTTTTGAAAAATGTTTAAAAAGTTGAAAAGTGTTTGTGTTTCATAAGACACTCAGGGTTGTTTTAGAAAAAAAGTTGCGTTTGAAATTCTAAAAATATGTCGGATCTGTGTTGGATGTTGGTTTTAAATACTTTACACTGCTCTTTGTTCAATACCCCTCATTAGCTCAATTGGTTGTTGTGCGTGGTCTCTTACATGAGATGTTGTGATCGCTCCCGTGCGAGGGCGGCTACTTTTTTTTTTTTGAGGGAAAGAGGGCGGCTACTTTTTTAGCTACTACAGTACGTGCTCGCAGCTGTTTTCTTCATGGACCGGCTCGGGTAGACACCCGCCTATGCGAAACTGCGGTTGTTTGCCGCAAAGAGCGGCATATAGGAGGTCCCCTTTTATAGTGTTTTTTTGGCAAACGGTCCCTGCTTGTCATAAAACCAAGTGGG